CACCGGGCCTCCCGCCCCCGCCCGCCCGCCCCCCACGCTGGCCTTCCGGCTTGTTTTCCTCGTGCTGGCGGAAGACCGGGAGGGAGAGCGCTCGCCCGGGGGACTGGCCTTTGCTCTGTAAACTGGTAAAGGCTGAGCTAGGCGGGCGAGGCCAAGATGGGATGAATCCCCAGCATTAAAGGTAAAAACAGTCGGCGTCCCAAGTAACTAATTGCTCCTTTTCTTTCCTTCCGCACGAACCCCGCGAGGTACAGAAACCTTGTCTTAAGGGCAACTGCATCCACAGGAACTCCTCAGGGATAAGATAGTAGATGTTCCTCCCTCCAGCAAAGAGGCGGGCAGGGCTTTGGGCTTCCGTGGAGGACACCTGGGCCAGGGTCTTCTGATCGCTGGAAGTCCCTGGGGGCGCGGGAGGGAGGCAAGCGAGAATATCTACAGCCAGCAGCAGCATGTAGTAGGTGCTGTAGGTGGAACGGAATCAAGGTCGTATTTTTGCCGGACAATCCATTCTAATGGCTATTTTTTTCAATGTTATTCTAAAATGTGAAGCTCTTTTGAAGAATTAATTGTTCTTTATGTTTTGCTCTAGAGCTTGCTGGGAAGAGGGGGTGCGATTTCGTTTAGACGTGTTCCCATTCCAGAAAATATTCACCTTATCTTTGAGGATATCTGTACCAGACTTCTCTACCTTTCTCCCCCTGTTGCATGCATCCCCCTCTCATCCCCTATAACACTTCCTGCTTACTTCTATTAAGGCTTTTATGGCACTTTTCTATCCTTTTGGCTAGACTGTGATCACCTTGAAGTCAAGTATTTCCCCTTTGTTATTATTTTTTCATTAGTTCATTGATCACTTTACTCAACAAATATTTACTGAGCAACTTCAATGTGCCAGACACTATTAGGTTCTCAGGATATTGTCTTGAAGAAGACACATCGCTCTCATGGTAATTATACTCGAAGTAGGCAAATAAGCAAAGTGTGATGCCCACTTGAAAGGCAAAATAGGATAGGACATAATAACTGAAACATGCGTACTTTGAGTGGTTGGGAAGACTTCTCTGAACAAATCATCAGATCACCTTCCAGAACCAAGAATTTATAAGGGGATGCATACATTATTCTTGAATTAATTATTATTATTATTAAGAGAAACTAGAAAGTTAAATCGAAACCTTGGAATCATCCTTGACTTCCTTTTCCTCACCCCCTCATTTAATCCATCCCCAACCTCTAAGGATTCAACCTCCTAAGTAGATCTTGAATCATTTTTCATTTCTCCGTCTGCACTGCATCCACCGTGGTGCAAGCTACTGGCATTTCACCTTCTACTCTTACCTCCTCTCTCAAACACACACCCACACACCCATGGTACAAATCCTTCAGTGGTTCAGAATATAATTCAGAATATAATACAAACTCCTTAGTGACCTCTACATAACCTGCCCCTCTCCTCCCCTCCAACTTCACCAGGTGCCATTCTTGCTCTGAATCATTATGCTCCAACCACAAAGTAATCTCATCCTCCAACCACTTCTCTTCCTTTGTTCATTGTCCTTCACTTGGAGCTCTTCTCATCCCTTAGATCTCAGAGAAGCCTTCCTCGACCCATCCCCACTGACAACAAAAATAGACTCACCCTGTTTCTGTCATTCTAGTTCATAACACCCTATTCTTTTCTTTATAGACCTGTCAAATATTTGTTTAAATGTGACTTATTTAATATATGAGGGTATTTCAAAAAGTTTATGAAAAGATTCATATACACACACACACCTATAAATATATAAATACATACACACATATGAATATATTGAGAGAAGGAATATACACACATTTATATATATAATGTATGTATAATATGATACATAATTATGATATATATTATTCCTCCTCCAATTTAATCAATAAGTTTCAGTTTTCAATTTCCTAGCCTCTGGAGGTACAGACTTACATGCTCTTTCAGGTTACGCTGTAATACGAATCTTATCAGTTAGCAATTGATACTTGTTTTATGAGTACAAATATTTAAGTTATCTTTAAGAGTTAGACACTATGTTTCCATATTTGTTTTCTGTGATTTGATTTCTTATCATTCTCCTAAGCCACCATAGAGGATAAATCCAAAATATGCTGTCTTTCCAAAGGTAAGAGCTTCATCAGTGACAGAAAATAACCAAATATAAAATTAAAATGCTATTTTACTATTCCCCCAACTTCATCAAACACATGTATCCTGTTCTGAGATATTTAATTGAGGCATCTATTCACATTGCTCACGTGCCACAACTATACTCTGTGATCAGTGATTGAATCTAATATTTTAAATCCATTGAAATTCCACATTAAACACAGTTGTACCTGTAAGTAATCCAAGCTGTTTAAAGCTTATTGCAAATGCATTCGTACCACACTTTTTGAAAGTTGTAAATTATGATGGCATTTGTCAAGCTGTCCCTCCATCTGGAAGCACAGTCAAATATCAGGTGTTCCACATTAATTTTTTTGTAGGCTTTGGAGAGATAGCTCATCTCTCAACCTAATAGTTTACATTACATGAATGAATATTATTATTATTACCATAATCAGAAGTAAGGCTTATGAGTCATCTTTAATTTCACATCTGAAAAGTTATTCAATATCACAAATTTAGAAACAGTAAAAATTCAGATTTCCATATGCTTTTATCTTTCCTCTGAATTCTAGCAATAAGCAATTTTTTTGGGACACTCTTCAAAAGGTGATTTTCTCCCAAAAGATCAAAGACTTTGATTGATCATGAAACCCATGTTTCTCTCCATCTAATTTCTTAAGGTCAAATTAATTCCTATTCAAACTGGCCAGGAGAATAATGACTAAAGATCAGCTGGGTCCAAATATTCCTGGTCTTCTTACTCGAAAAAGATTGGAAGGTATATAAATAATAAACTGGGTATAAGTTATTCAACTCCTATATATGTATATATAGATATGCTACAGATAAGCACATATTATGTAAATACCATAAAAACCAGAGGTAACACAGAAAGTACAAATCCCTCTCAGAAATTTATTCAACAATTATTTGCTGAGTGCTATCGTTTCAGGCACTGATAGGCATTAGTGATACCTCAATGACAATGAAGACATTTGTCTGTGTTATTACAAATCTTTAGCCACTTAGGTCAAAAACACACATTGCTACTTAGTGATTTTAAATTAGTGGTTTAACTGAATCGGGTTATTGAGTGAGTCAAAAATCAAAATGTCTGCAATAGTATTTTGAAAATTGCAAAATGCCAACATAAATTAAATATTAAAAATTTAATGCTGTAGGGCCGGCCCGGTGGCGCACTGCTATAGTGCACCGCTTGGGAGGCGCAGTGGCGCTCCCGCCGAGGGTTCGGATCCCACATGCAGACCGGTTCCCGCTCACTGGCTGAGCGAGGCGCGGGAGCGACACCGAGGGCTGCGATCCCGTTGCCGGTCCCGGTCAGGTACGGGGGCGACACTGAGGGTTGCGATCCGTTGCCGGACACGGAAAAAGACAAAAAAAAAAATTTAATGCTGTAATGCTCACATTCTGGAAAAACGCCACTGGTGTATGCTTCCCTATGAATGATTTTGGGTAAAATGCACTAGGAGTGGTAGTTTTGTAGACTTGTCTAACTTAAGATGGGGAAAAAACATCCTCTAGAATGAGTGTTCCCTGAAAGAATTTCCCTCACAACTTGGAGGCCTCTTCCTTGGGCTTGTTACCTCTCTCACCGTCAAAAGTTAACATAATTCCAGTGGCTGGCATTTAAAGCTGGTTTTTGTTTTCCATGCTGTAATTTACTGTTTTGTAATTTCAAGTTCATTTCAATCTGGAGTTGATACAGAACCTTGCTGTAAATTATTCATTGGTCATCTGTAGTAGATGCTGCAATGTGGCCATCTGTAATAGTCATCTATCGTAGATGCTGTGATGTGCCTCACAGAAATTCCAGCTTATCCCCCAACCTGTTCAGGACTGAGGCATTCATTCCCTCAGCTGCTGGGAATGTTGGTGGTTGACAGCTCTCTGCTGAGTTTCTCTTTGGAAATTACTGCTAGCTGAAGAGAGCGATCTCACCCAAGGTTCATGCTTCATCCTGGGGTAGCAAATATCCAGTGACTAGGGGGTATAAAGGCCTGACCCTTGCCTCAATTCAAGACATCTTTGAGGGGCCATCCCAACTTCAGAGGTCCTTCAAGGGATCAACAGAAACATCTGTTGGGACTGCAATTGAGTTCAGCTTCTCCATCTGTCTATCCTGCCTCATTCCCCCCACCCCCACTTGTCCTCAGCAGGACAGCATTGCCCAGTAAATAAACCTCCTCCATTCACATTTCTGTTTCAGAGTCTGCTTCCCAGGAAACCTAAGCTGTTGTTACCATTATATGTAATTTAACAAATAAAATATACTGCATATAAAATGTACTTCCTTAATTATCTTCATGCCTGGACATAAAAATTGACTCATATGATAAATAAATCTCATCATTTTTTTCAGTGTTCTGAGATATTTCTGTATTTGTTCATTCATTCTTATCAAATATAATTGTGTGCCTAATATATGTTAAGTACAGTGAAAAACACTAGAGGTACCATGGTGAGCAAAATAGAAGTGAGCTCTATGCTCATGCAGCTTGCAGATGAATTAGGGAGATGAACATTTGCCAAGTAATCACACAAAAATATAATATTTACTGAAATAACAATATCAAGGAAAAATAGAGGGCTTTTATAACAGAGAGGACCTGGGAAATCAGTGAAGGAGTCCTTGAGGAAATGACCTTGCCGCTGAGATCTAAAAGACAACAAGAGTTAAAAGGTCAAAAAGGAAGTGATTAAAAGTATTCCAGGGATGGGGAGTAAACTGCAAAGGCTCCAAAGCCAAAAGTATCCTGATAGATGGGAAAGGAGGCCCTGACAGCTAAAGTTCAGGCAACTAGCAGGAGTGTGACCCAGGGCCAGGCTTCGAAGATAAGCGTGCCATATGGTGTTTTAATCTGTGTGTAGGATTCTGAACGTTATCCTATAAGAAACAGGAAGCCATGGAAGTTTGTTGAAGCACAGGAATGATGTGATCAAATGTGTATTTTGAAGAATCACTCTGATTGCAGGGTATGTATAATTCCATATTCATGTGCTCACTTGGGTAGATGTGTGAAAATCAACCAAGGCAAGTGATTTCTTGGGAATGGGCTCAGTCATTTCCTCCATGCATGTGCTAGCCTGAGTGGTAATCACAGTGTCATTAGGAATCAAAATAGTGAATTTCTACCATATATCAGTACCATCATTATTTAGCCTGTTGTAACACTTAAAAAGCAGATCCCTCTATTGAATCAAAGTCTGGAAAGAAAACCCTACACCCCAGAAGGATTCCTGAATCTCAATCAATGGCTATCTTTCTGTTTTCCAACATAAAACTATAATCATCTATTTTTAATCATCTGAATAATGAATGACATGGTGTTCTTATTCTGCAGTTTGTCTTTGTGATTGCTACCACCCCTAGTCTATAAAATGCTTAATGGTTTTGAGTGGGTTGGTCTTATCTTTTTATCCTCCATCCCTAAAACAGTATCTACTACATACTAGGTATATAAATATTTATGAGTAATTACCATAGTCTCTTAAAACTTTGTTGCAGTTAAATATTTATTTTTACTTTCTCTTAAATATGACAGAGGGTATAGAAAGCCTAGAGGAAAATATATCTAGTGATATACAAGTAGATAAAGGACATTAATGAGCAATTCACAAAAAAGGAATATGAGCATTGATAAAAATGTGAAAATTGTATCAACCAAACTAGTAATCAAAGCAGCACCAAAAAATTAATGGCATATGATTTTTCACATATGAGACTAGAAAGGATTTTTTAGGGAGTGATCCACGTGTAGGAAAATGAAAGGTTCATGAGATTCCATAAGAAATAAAAACTTGGTACAGTATATAGGCAGGGCAGTTTAGCTATGGATAGCTGTTTTAGTCTATTTAGGCTGCTATAACAAAATACCATAAAAGAGTAGCTTCTAAACAAAAAAAAAAACCTTATTTCTCACAGTTCTGGAGGCTGAGAAGTCCAAGATCAAGTCCAGATTTGGTGCCTGATCAGGACCCCCTCTCTGGTTTATAGACAATGCCTTCTTATAGCTGTGTCTTCACATGGTAAAAGAGACAGGCAGCTCTCTGGGCCTCTTTTATAAGGGCACTAATCCCATTCATGAGGGTTCTGCTCTCATGATCGAAACACCTTCCAAGGGCCCCATCTCCTACTATCACATTGGTTGCAACATATGAATTTGGGGGGACACAAACATTCAGACCATAGCAATAGCCAAACCCTAAATATGTGCATTTTCTTTGATTCGGCAACTTCATTTCTGATATTTCAAAGAAAACAATTATTCTTGTATGAAAAATTTACCCCAAAACATCATTCATTCCCAAGTCGTTTATACAAAAATAAAAAAGTAGTGACATATATGTCGTACAACAGATAACTGATCAATGACTGTGGTGAATCTATATAATTCAAGTAACAGACGCTCATTAGTTAATTATCAGAAAAAGTAAACGTTATTTTAAAAGTTCTATTGCATCATGAGCAAATGCACCAATACACATACCTTTTATAAATTTGTATGTGGGTGCATGCATGTAAAAATCTCATTACTCCTACCCTAGTGCTTAGCACATATTGAGCACTCTGTGATTTTTTTATATGAAGTATTTTATGTGAAAAACTGAATACCAAAATTGTCCGTAATATTATCCAGTCTGTCCTATGCAAAATAATTATCATAGTCCTAGGTACAAATTTCTTTAAGAGTTATAAAAACTGGCTAATAGTGAGAACTACTTACGCTTTATCTAACTAGACAAAATAATCTGAATATCTAAATAATTTCCTATTACAAAATAATTGTTTGACTCTATTGACTTATTTAATCTGTAAAACAGTAATCATTCTTTTGCTCCAAACCGTCCCTGTCTTCCCATGTCACTCAGTAGGAAAAAGTCCTTACAATGAACTACAAGACACCTATGGTCTAGCTGCTTGTTTCTTCTCTCCCCATAATTCCTGCTATTCTTGTTCACGCCAACTCTATCCACACAGGTTTTCCCACTTGCTGTTTCCTCTGCCTTCCATGATAGTCCACCAAGTAGTCCAACAGCTAGCCTCTTATCTGCTTCAAGCATTTGCATAAAGGTCATCTTCTCAGTGAGTCTTCCCTGACCACCATATTTAAAATTACAGCTCCAATTTCATACATTCACTGTGCCCCCTTTCCTGCTTTATTTTTCTCCATAGCACATAATACAAATGACATTCTATTTGTTTTAATTGTGTGTTTGTTCATTGGCTTACTCTACTATGTAAGTTTTTTAAGGTTGTTTTGTCTACTGCTCTGTCACTGGTATCTGAACCAGTGACTAGCACGTTGTAGGTGCTCCGTAAATATTTTTGAATAAACACATGAAACAGGTTGTAGTCCTTTATCTTTTTATACTAATGTATTAGCATTTAATAAATATTGTACATATATGTGTCTGTCTCACCCACCAGAGAGAACTGTTCAAGGCCAAGAACAATGACTTATTAATCTTAGAATCCTTCAGTTTACATCTGGAACTAAGTAGTTGTGCTCTATGTACAACTCTATGTTGATTGAACAAACAAATGGATTAACAATCAACGTGTTTATGTACTTTCCCAAAAGCACCCACTCCAGTGCATCTTTTGATGTTTAAAATTTGAGATTTATCATGTATGTCAATCAGATCACCTCTAAACTAAAAGCTTACTCTGAAAAATATTTCTTGTTTTTATTCTTGTCTTAACAACTCACTTGGCAACATTTGGTAAATATAATCATCCGTGCAAAGTACCTATTGTGTTTTCAATACATTTGAAAATATTTTTCATTTCTGTATTTATTGTCTTCAACACAGAGTTACATTAGATTTTTTTCAAGTATTCTGAATAGTCTCCATTTATTGAAAATGTTATTAAAGTTTTTAAAAAATATTTGCATTTGATTTGCAGAGTTCAAGGAAAAGATTATTTGGTAGTTTTTATCTTAGGCAGGATAACCATTCCTAAAGTATTTTAACACTCTTTTAGAACTGACACATTACATGTTTATGCCATTGTATGTAGTATATGTGTGTATACATATATACATATACTGTGTGTGTATATTTAAGCCACTCAACATACTTTTACTGCTTATTGCTGAAGATGAATCATAACTGAACTCATAAACTCATAAATTTGACTGTCATGTTTTAGATTTCAGTTTTTTCTTTCTTTTTTTTTTTTTTTTTTACAGTTGGGGTGTTGAGAGATGCTGATTACAAGCAGCACAAATACACTTCACAATGTGATCTTTGATAAATGTCCAAATGGATTTTAAAAGTAAGTAAATTGAACTGCTTTTTGATTCCCATAATTTATTCCAGCCATCTGTGTCACGCACACGCCTCAGTTTGTTTCTTCAGGGCTTTATGATTTGGGTTGTTTTTTTGTTTTTTTTTTGCGCAACCCCCAAACCAACACCACCTTTAGGATATAACAACATTAACATATTTCAGGACTGACTTTGGTCCCCTAAAAAGTATAATACATGTTTCAGTTGAGAAACGTTTTTCAACATAACTATTTGCAATTTGGAGATTAAAAAATGTGGAACCAAAAGCATTCTTTTGGCATCATACTTTCTATTTAAAGGCCACCAAATGTTTCTTTCTGAGAGATTGTATTGAGCGGTTGGGATCTTGGCATCCACTATTGTTATAGGGAAAGATTTTTCTGGCCCACACTTGTAGTTCCTGGATAATGAATGACTAGAGTATATGGACAAAGCCACCTTCCCATCTGTACTAGCCTTAACCACCATCGATTGAGTGTTGCAGCCTCTGTTGAACCATGCATGCTTAATCATTCATTTTACTGAGAGCTAATAAAAATAGCTGACTTTATTGATCACCTAGTGTATGCCCAGAACATTACACATAATCTTTGATTTAATTGTCACAGCAACCTGAATTTAAAGATAGACAGACTGATGCTTATATGTTTTATTGGAGTTTCTGGTGCCTAATTTTCTTCTTTTTTGTAGGCGTTATTAAAACAACAATAGAAATTTGTGGATTTTGTTTGTCTTAAATGCAAGTGCATTTTTAGTTTTCTTCATGGAGAATGATGCTAACTTTTGAAGTTCATGTTTTTCTAAGCAGTGCATTAAACTGTTCTAATTATCATATAGTTAAGAAAACTGGGCTAAGTAATGTTAATGCTATATCTTCAAAAGACTGATGGGTAGAAGATCCTGGATTCTTGCCCAGGACTCCTTTACTCAGTGTACCTTCCATTTTACTGTTCTGTCTTGAAATAGAGTAGTATGTTCCCCAACAGAATCTGCCCATCTATTTTTCTGTTCTAGTCTAGTTTAATCTATGACCTATAATAATCTTGATATTTGAAGAATGACAATATTTATGTCATGGTTTTTCTGTGCTATGATAAAAAACAAATGTATATGTGTGTGTATATGTATATAATGTATGACTATATATGTGTTACATGTATGACCATATGTATCAGTCACATCCTAAGTACATATATATTATTATATATATATTTGTAGCTCATACATGTAGTAAATCCATGCCTTTGTGATGAGCTCTATGACAGATTTTGACACAAATATAATGTGTTAAATACCGTGTTATCTTTCTCCCATCACTCTAACTAAGCTAAATTTCTAAACATAGAACACAGATTTCTGAACAATTCATATGATGCATTAATACAAGAAGCAATTTATACTTTAAAGTTGATTGTTCTGAGAATAAGAAAAATTTGGCTCAAATGATAAAAATAGAGAATGATTAGGGAATCTGAGATCATTTAGCCTAGAGAAGATAAAGCTAACTAAGTTTGAATAAGTTATTGCATTTAAATAGGTTTTTAAAATAAAAATAGTGAGCAGTTGTTTTCTATTTTGGCATCAGGTCAGGAAGTGAGTTTAATAAATTAGACAGTTTAATTGAATATAAGAAAAATAAACCCTCTATGTCAAAGATAAAATGTTAGGATGGGCTTCTAAGGAAGATATGAAGTCTTTATAACTGGAAATTTGCACAAAGAACATAAACAACCTTTTACCCCAGTTCCCAGAATGAAAACTGCTGGAGAACATGATCTCAAGTGGTCTTTTCTAATTTTTTGTTTTTCTAAACATTATAACTCTTTCTGCCCTTTTCTTCTGTCTTTCACTGCCGTTCATAATAACAACTCCTTAAAGCAATAACAATTTCTGGCTTTTATTTTTAAACACATCTGATTACAATATTATTAACTGCAGTTTGTCTTTTACATTCAATCACCAAGTGAAAACAGCAAAATATCAGCCAGTTTTTCAGTAAAAAGGCAGATTCCAAGGTAACCCACATTTATAATATATCTCTAAACATATATATAACAACTAAATTAATGATTCAAAAACATATTTAAATCATAATACTTCCCTGTTCAAAAAAACTATCAATGGTGGCTCATTAAAATTAAAGAAAAATTCATATTCCTTAGAATGGTCTGCAGTGACTGACATGATCTGAACCTCCCTATATCTCTGATCTCATCTCCTCCCCTTTCTTCTCTAGCTGAAACCACATCAGCCACGGTGACGTCATCGTTTATCCAACATATCAAGCATCTTATCTCTTTCTATTCTTTGTCCCTGGCTTAATACCAAATGATACAAGGCAGGCAACCATCTGCTGGATCAGAATATTCCGTATAGGGAACAGCAAGCGCAAAGGCTGTGGCTTCACTCTTTCTGTCATTTTCCCCTGAATATGCAGAAGCAAATATACACATCAGTGTTCATCTCTTTCTCCTGATCATTTTCTTCACTTTATACCCACTGACTTTATATCTGTATTTGTATACTTGTTTATTATCAGCTTTTCCTTGTATATCATGAGTATTGTGTATTCTCTGCTATATTGCCTACACCTGGAATAGTGTTTGGCACATGACAGACATTTAATAAATCAACCTTCCACTTTCACTTTCAATTTAAAAGTAGATATTATTTCTGCAATGTCAAAGTCTGATGAAAAAATTGTTTACAGTTGTGCTATAGCCAGAGTCAGTGTATTTGTAACGGAATATTATGCTTTCCATCCATATGGTTTGTCATCATGGAAAGAGAGCTTTAGTCTAAAGGTGAAGTGGGAAGTACAATTTGCAAAAATCATGCCATTTATTCTTTCCAAAACCAAATCAAGGCTTATTGTCTTTGGGTAAAAATATATTATTAAAAAACTCATAGTGAACATCTTTTTTTCTCTATAAGAAAACATATTCTGTTTAAAAAATGTAATTCTCTCTCTGATGTGAGAAGAATTTATTCCATTCCTTATCTGCGAATTTCATTGCCATTTGCATGTTGCCTGGAATACAAATTGTACTAAGTAATCAATCAGTGTTTAATTGCCGCTCAAGTAAACCCTTGTAATCAGACTTGCTGTAAAAATGTTAAGGTGTGCAAAAAGCATAAGGTGGCATTTTCTCCTCCTCCTCATTATGCCTGTGTAACTTCCATTAATACTAATAGGAGGCACAGCTGGTCGTCAACAGGAGATTACAGGTTGCTGTTTAAATCATATTTTATTTTTATACCTTGGCAAGATTTATGTATTGAAATCAGGTGTCCAGATTTTTGCTGTTGTTAAGAAATCTTTTACTCTGAAAGAATGAGATTTGGAGGGGTGGGAATTGAGTCTCACATTTTTTATTTTAGGAATATAAAGACTCAAAATCCAGGCAGCAGCTTGTCCTTATACAGCAAGTCTGTCTTATTCTTTAGCACCAGCTGGAGTCCCATTTCTAATTTGCTGTGAAGAATTAAGTGATTTGAGACCCATACCCTGGAGTATTTGACCTGCAATGTCAACCAGCTAGCGTGCAGTTCCCTTGGTTGGAAAGTTTCTCCAGAATTGATTTGAACTTACATCAGTTAAAATACTCTGCAATATAGTAGTAAATATCTTTGCAAATCTGAGTATGACATTATAGCCATGAAAATAAACACACTGTAGAATATTAAAGAAAAAAGTTTAGGAATATGGAGAGGCTCGATGATCAGAAATGGTGTGATAATAAAACCTTTCACCTTAAGGTCATCAGTTTGAGACTGGCACAGTTGGGTGGCTTTACTGGCTGAAGATGGTTGTTTGTAGCACATGTGAACTGTGTCAGTTTGCTCAAGCTCATTTCTTTGTGGTCAGGTCCATTTGTCATAAAACGCTATTCCTGTATTCTCGATTGCCACAGCATCGACAATCCTAGAGGAGAACTGAAGGACTGAAAGGGACATAGCGCAGTATCCTGTTACTCCAAGCACAAGCCAGCCTCCTTTTACCTCAGTCTTCATTTTCTCATGCTGTTGCCCTCGTCTGGTTTGTCCTCATTTTTTTCTCTATACCTGATCAAGTCCTTCAAATTATTTTAAATATTTCTTCTTCCTCGCCATGAAACATCTCCCGAAATATTGTTATTGGTAAATTTCTCTCATTCCTGAACGTGTTGATACTGATGACCTGAAATTAGATATAATACCAGTGCAAGTAAGTGATAAGATCAGGAGTGCTAGAAGAAACAGTAGGTGATATGACACTATTGTAGCTGGGAGAATAAATGCCACTATCCCCACAACTCTTCTTAAACTCCTCTGTCTTTATTCTCTCTTCATTTTCCCCTTCTCCAGCTTTCATTTCACTTAGTCAACCACAACCTATAGAGACATATCTGGCTCCTCACCCCAAGATGTCACCTGGCTGCTCACCCTAGTAACACCACCTACTGACAACCTGTAGTTCTGGTACCCATCTTTTGCCACGGACTACCCTAACTTACTCGGCTATCACCTTCAGCCATAAAGGATACAATAAGCATATAGCCAGGGAAGTCCCCATCCCCTTGACATGTTAAGTGGATGGAAGAGAAAGTAGATGGAAAATGCCAGGCTTGAGATGAGACCAGAAGGTATAGGTACATTCTGAGAATTCCTTGGAATAAATAGCATTTACTTTTCATAACCCATTTTTTCCAAATATATTATTGGCTGTGGATCAAATGTCCCCCCAAAACTTATTGAAGCTTGAATTGTGGCCCCCAAGTTTTATATGTTAGAGACTTGGCTTCCAGTGTGACTGTTGAGAGGGTAGGAAATCCTATTATGGTAATTAAAAGTTGGGGCCTTGATGAAGTGATTAGATTATAGGACAGTGCAGTAATGAATGTATTAGTAATGGTGGTCAGGGGCGTGGTTCAGAGGGCTTTAAAAGAAGAGCACATGAAGAGCCTCTATCTCTCTGCTCCACCATTTTCTGCATGTGAGACCTCTG